GGAATGGCTGTGCCCAGGGTTGCTGGCACTGTGCTCAGTGGGGGGTCCATGCTGGAGGTGCTGGTGACGGGCTCAGGTCCTCCAGGCTTCTGCATTGGAGGGAAGATGACTCCTGCTTAGGGGAAGGCAGTCGTCTTTCTGAGCTTTTCATCCATGCAAGGGCTCAATTTCAACGGTTTTTTTAAAATTAAATAGTGCTTAGATCCCCTTCATTAAAAGGAGTTTCTTTGCACTGGCTGTGGTGCAGACATGGAACAGAGCAGCACTTCTTGCTCTTGAGAAGGATGAGCCCAAATGCTGACACCCGACTGGACGGGCAGAGCACCACATGCATGTTTTGGAGGGCTCGCAATCAGGACTGAACCCGAGAAGAGTTTGGGTTATCGGGCAAAACCAAAGGGGGTGCTGTCTTGGGTCCGTAAGGTGAAAAATCAGAACATGTCCAGGGAAAGCTTTGGTGTTTCTCAGGGGATGCCTCAAACGTACAGCTGGTCTGAAAAATGCCGTGGGAGCATCTAGCTTTTTTTGCTATGGAGGTCTGGATGTGACTTATTATGGGAGGAAAAATCATCTGGAATTGTTTGTTTAAAAGAATTAGTGGGTTTGGTGTGCACCCCAGCGCTGCACCGTGCACCGGGTGTTATGTGCATGGGGACAAGCACTGAGGGAGGGTGGACCATTGCTCAGCAGTGGGAAGGGACAAGCATAGGATGCAATGTGTGAGATGCCAAATTTCTGCCTTCTACAGGCTGTAAAAAGTGGTCCAGGACACCGGGCTCTACCACTTGCTGGGGGTGACGGTGTCTTCCGAAACTGCCTGCCAAGGCCATGCACCTCCTGGCCACTGCCAGCCAAGGAGGTCACTTTGCAGTGATAGAAAAGAGTCAGAAAATTTCCATCAGTCAGGAGCATCCCAGGTTGTGCTGAAACTCTGCAGGATGGGGGGAGGCAAGGATTCGGCCAGCCCAAGATGCCAAAATTGGTCAGGGCTCATCAAAGACGGTCAGTGAGCATCACTGCACTTGCACAAAGATACTCTCCCCTTGTGCAATGCACTGAAATAAAGCTCCCTGTTGAGAAGGAGCTCACTCAGGATCTTGCATCCTTTTTATTTTGTGAGGGGATGGGAAAAGAGCCAGAAAAACAGCACGCTAATATTCATATTTGAGGATTTTAGCTCCTAGCTTCTGGGCGGGTTTGGAGGCAGGTGTGAAGGGGAGCGTGCACGCTCCTTTGCATGTGTTTGTACCCTTTCCTGGGTATTTTTAGGCTGCAGACCGCAACGCTGCAATACCGGTGCTGGCTTTAAACCAGCTTATTGGGGCATCGGCCACAGACAGGCTTTGGCAGCGCATTGCTCCACGTGGGCTCATTTAGCTTGCCGGGGAGGCTTTTGAATATGCAAGCAGTAATTGCTGCTCTCCTTTCCTTAAAGCAAGGGTGGAAGCGACACCAGGGTCCAATTTTCTCCTAATGACTGATTTCATTTAAGCACAGCTCAGGGCAATGTAGGCTTGATGCTTCTTTTTTTTTTTTTTTAGGGCTGGGTACAACAACAAAACCCACGTCTCTGTGCATCGCAGAGCTGCAGCCCATGGCATTTGTCCTGTGTGGGGACCCGGCTGGTCTTGGTGGCATATGTGGGCTAAACTCCTTCTTCTCCTCCTTGTCCTCCTGTCCCAGGGCTTCTAGGTTGAGGCTGTCGCACACATATTTCCACCCTTGTTTCTGTGAAGGAGAAGTTATTTGTGGATGATTCAGCCCCATCAGCCTTTCCTTGGGATTTGGGGTTTGGCTAGAAGTTCCCTCAATGACCCTTCCTCTCCTATCTTCCCCCGCTCTGGATGTGCAGGGGCAATTAAAGTTAATTTATTCTGGCCTGCTCAATAACAAAGGCCAGAAGGCACCATTAGATCACAATCTGACTTAAATTTATTGATCTAATTAGCGCTCTAAGGTATAAATGGGAGGTGGGAGCAGGGCACTTAACATGTGATGCTGTGTGGAACGGGTCCCTTCTGCTCTCCTTAACACAAGCCTCCAGGTTGCCAGGGGCTGTCAGTTTTTCTCCATGATTAACTGATTTCTGTAGGATTTGCAGGGAAGGAGAAGGCTGCTGGACTTTGTTCTGACGGTGCAATCTGCGCTGTCTGCAGCTCCCGACGACCTGCCAGGGAGCCGTGTTTTGATTTTGATGCATCACATCAATGAATATTCATCAGCCTTCTGCAGGTTTAACCTATTTGCCTGGTTGCTAACATACTCTCTCTCTAACCCTTTTTAGCCTTTGTTGCTAATAACCTACAGCCCACTCAGCCTGCTCTGTAGGCTGGTTTGGTTTTTTTAATTGTTTATAGATGAAAATGAGGAACCTCAATAGCTCCGAAGCTGGAAGCAGCTCAAAATCTCCTTGTCTTGGTTGCTACATGACTGTCTGCTTTAAAACCCAAAAATAAAATCTTGCCTTTTGGTCTGTCATTCAAACTCCTCGTAAAACATCATCAGGAGCGTGTATCTCTGAAGAGCAGGTGTTGTTCTGATAAAAGCTTTCTGTACGTTTTTGCAAGCCCAAGTCAGAGCCTCTGTGTAGCAGCGGGTTCCAAGATGAGGTTGATGTGGTGTTGAAAAGGGGATGGAAAACGCCCTGTGGAAGGAGAAGAATGGGTCTGTTTGCTGTGGACCAGCTGCAGGGGCAGGATCAGGTCCTGCTCTGGGCACGCAGGGCCGTACCCACGGACTGGGAATGACCAAGTGACCCAGCTTTGCACAGCTGGGGACATGCAGGTCAGGACCGAGCTCCCACGACAGGCACGAAGCGCTGGGCAGCCACCACCATCTCCCACTTAAGCCCTGCTCCTCTTGGCTCTTTAAAACCCAAACCTGCAACATTTTCCTCTGCGTTGGAGGGGACAGAGGTCTGTGTGCCTTTGGTTTTTTTGTTTCCCTCCCTCCTTTAAGAAGGAAACTCCCCAGCAGGTCCCAAACCCCTCCTAACACTGAAGGGATGCCAGCAGCCTGTTAATGGATTTGCTGCGGTGCTGGCTGCTGGGGAGCCGTGATGAGAGAGCTTTCATGGCAGCTGAAATTCCTCCACTGGCTGCATTTTTCTGCATCCGAGATGCTAAATGTGAAATGAGATTTGGGGCTCTTTGGAAACTGGGGACTCTGGACTGGGCACAGAGCAGTTGCACAGCCTGGGATTATCCCATGTGAAAACCCAGTAGCATGTTTCCTTTTTCAGCAGATGATTACACCATGTGCTAAAAACATGCCGTTGAAGATAATTTCAAGGGCCAGATCCTCTGTTAGAGTAATGTGGGTAGAGCCTGAACTTTTTGCAAGGTCCCTATTTTGGGAGGGCAGTGCTAGCCATGCAAGCGGTGGTGCAGGGTCCGACCCCAGGTCTGCCCCCAACCTACCTCTGGCTCTCCGTGGGGCACAGCAGCTGTTTATTTGGGTGTATAAATCCTAGTCAGAGGGGAATGGCTGGCTCCAGGGATATCAGACACTTCTCTTTAAATGCTGACCTTTTTTCCCAAGTATCTTCATAGCTTTGTTAATCTGAGTCATCCATATTTCAAACCTTCTGCATTAACCTTGGCTGTTTGTCTTGTCTCTTAACATCTTGGCATTTTGTTTTGCAGACATAAAATATGTGGGTGTGTGGCTTTTTAAGACAAATGTTTAGACTTCTAAAAAATTCTCTACTTTGCTGGTTGATTTTTCTCATTAGGATGTTTCTCCGCTGTCCTCATTCCTCATGGGTGGCCCTCTTCTTGTATCATTGATTTGATGGTCCCAATTTTGGGGCAATATTTGCCTGGTCCTTGCCATCATTGTTTGGGCAAGATACACGTCTCCTGCCCTGAACTTTGCTCCCAACCTGGGTTTCAGAAATCATAGAATCACAGAATGGTTTGGGTTGGAAGGGACCTTTAAAATCACCAACTTCCAACTCCCTGCCGTGGGCAGGGACACCTCCCAACAGCCCAGGTTGCTCAAAGCCTCAGAATAACCCAAGTATCTGCAGGGACAAGCGATGCCTGACGTAAGCACCATGTAGGAAATCTCCACTGCGTAGGAGCTACCGGCACCGTGTGATTTTTATCAGCTGAAATTGCGTCTTGTAAATATTTACTGGAATTTCAAGTAGGGTTTATCTAATTAAAGCCAAGTAAAACTTTCCATGAAAAAGAGCCACCCAACCGGTGGTTGCTCCTGGATGTTTTGGAACATGTTTAAGAGCTGGGGGGAGGTTATAGGGTATTTTCTCAGCTCTGCTGCTGTCTGTGGCTGGGGGCATCCAGAGCTACGTGAGATCTTCAAGCACCAAGTCACCTGTGCTGGGGACCACATACCTGGTGGCCCCGGGTACATTCAGCTGTTCTTGGCAGCAGCCTCCCAAATTTGCCAGACTGGGACAGGGGCTGGCCTGGCTGCCACAGCACAGGGAGGTCTGGGCATTTGCTGGGATTGGCAGCAGTGGTGGGGGTCCAGGACCCCTGTCCCCGCAGGGACGGCAACCTGTCCCCCTGCCAGCTTCAGCACAAGGCAAGAAAATGCATCTTTTTAATTCACTCAGTCATCAAGGTTGCCAGGACCGTAAATGTAAATCTGAGCAGAAATATTTGTCATGTAAACCATCTCTGAGCGCGTGGGTGGCTTTGCTTCCTCCTCCCCTCAGCAGGACAGGAGCACAGCGCTGTGGGGCAGCTTCTCAAGCCTTCTCTCTTCTCTTTCCTTCAGGATCTAGTGCCCAGGAGGGAGGGACGCAGAGGATTTTGGCCATGGCCCCAAGGAAAAGGAGCGGTCGGGGGATCTCCTTCATCTTCTGCTGCTTTCGCAGCAGCGACCACCCTGAGATCACGTACCGGCTGCGCAATGACAGCAGCTTTGCCCTGCAGACCATGGAGCCTGCGCTGCCCATGCCGCCAGTGGAGGAGCTGGACGTCATGTTCACCGAGCTGGTGGTAAGTAGGATGCTTTTTATTTTCCTTCACCCACCACTTTTTTCCCCCCCGTTTTCTAGCCTGCCTAAACTTGGTTTTGAATTTTCAGGCAAGCTTTGTTGTGAAGGGAGCATCAAGGGCTGCTGTTGGGAGTGGTTCTGAACTGAACCTTGAGCTCTGCTCCTCCCTGGTGTGCTGCCAGTGTTTTTCTCATTAGAAAGCCTTGATTTCTTAGAGCAGGACTGGTCTGACTTTGTTCACCTCTGGGGTGATGCAGGGGTGTCCAAGCAGGTTGTTCTCTGTAGGTGCAATGTGACTTTACTTGCTGGGCACTCTGCTTTATATAAATCCATGATTTTGGGCTAAATTGAGATTTGGAGAGTTGGGATATTGTTTCTCTGTCCGTCAGTATCAAAACTCTGAAAGACATGGATCAAAGAAATAAAAAAAGTCAGCTAAAAAAAGCTTTAATTTCTTCTAAGCAAAAACATTTGGATGTGGCTTGTTGGATGGACCCAAAATGCTCCACTTGGGGTTTCTCTGCGGTGTTTTGATGTGTACAGGAGTCATGACGCTGGTCAGTCACAGCTCAGGGTATAGGATGTCCCATTAGATGCCAGGCAGCACGGTTTATGGTGAGCCAGGCCACTTGGTTGAGAAGAGCTCCACATGGTATTACAAGAGCTGGTTTTACTCAGAAGTCCTTCTCCACGGGCCAGATGAGAAAGCAGACTGGGACACCGAGCACAGCTCGGTGGGGACAAGATGTCCCTGCAGCAGGACCCTCTTGCAGCAGTCCTGCAAAACGCCAGCGGTTGGGTTTGGTTTGTTCAAGTGGAGTGACTGCCTCTTTTCCACATTTTTCTCCACTGATAACTTGGCCAAATCAGATTTTCCTGGGGAAATTCTTTCCCATGGAAAAGGCTCCCCATGCCCCAGCCCAAGGCGGCATTAGGGCTCATTGTGCTGCGGCTCAGCATCACCAGCTGGGCTGAAGGAAGCATTGATGGAGGCTTGTGCACTGGAGCCCCATAAAGCCTGCAGCATCTCGTCCCAGCCCAGCATTTTCAAACCACGTCTCCCAAATTCAGCCAGATGCTTCATGCAGAGGCTGTGCCGCGGGGGACCACTGTGTGTGCAGCGGGGCAGGAGCCCTGTGATGCTGGCAGGGACCAGCTAGGCTCTGGTGTGACCCTTCTGCTCTCCATCCCTTGCTCTGTGCTGCAGAGATTTGGGGCTTTTTCCCCCAGCTGAGGGTGAGAAGGCGGCTCAGAGGCAGCTGCTGCTCCAGAGCACGCCGGCAGCAGGAGCTGTGCTGGCTCCCCTGGGACTGAAGGCATTTGGGGAGGGGGGACAGTGGATGCACACCATGCTCCCATGCAGCAGCTGCGACCCCATGGCTCCCCAAAAAACCCATCGGGCAGATCTCGACCCAAGCCAGCACTGGGTGGGAGTGAAGGGGAAGCCAAGCTCTGCCCCGTGGGTGTGAGAGGGCAGATTCCCATTGGGGAGGAGTGAAGATGCAAAACCACCCCCCACCTCCATTACAACAGCTCCTTCTTGCTCTCAGTAACCTGTTGGTGTTGGGTATTAAATTTCAGCATTAGTTAAATGGTTTGGAAAGCGTCCCACTGTTTCTGTATAAACCCACTGTGTAACGTTTGGAAGAGAGACAGAGAAAGCACTCAGAGGCGCTGGGCTGATTTTTACGCCTGCGGGAACCTGATGCCACCCAGCCCATCGTGCTCAACCGTCCGGGGCGGGATGGCTTGTGCCCTCTCTGTGGGACCGGAGCTCCCAACAAAGTCCTCGGTTGTCTTGGTCGATTGGGTTGAGGGGAGTCAAAGGGGCTGGAGGGGATCTGGAGGCTTTGGCAGCTGAGGTTGGTCCTTGGCCAACTCTTCTCTTGCAGCTTAATAGTGACTTTTCTGCCCCATTTGTTCCCATTAGGGACTCGGAGTGGCAGGGGTGGAAGATTTTCCAGGGCTGGGATGGGTGGTGTTTTTGGGGACGTTGCAGTGGTGGGTTTGGTCACCGGGGTGGACAATCCTCCTACAGAGAACAACAATCCAGCAGAATCCCTGCTCCACAGGTCCCAGCCTGCTGCATACATCGAAGGGCAAAAACTCTTTCTTTTTGGAGCCATCCCGCAAAATATTCTCTGGACTTTGGGTGTTTTTAAGTGTGCCTGTTTGTCTGAGTCAGGAAACATCCGTAGCGTGAGAAATCCCAGTGGCAGAGCACCGGGGCTTGAGCTGCAGAGGAACGTGGAGCAGCTGTGACTCCAAGGTCAGCTAAAGGCTCGATCTGCTCTCCTGGAGTCTGTTTTATGGCCTGGTTTATGTTAGATGGACACTCTGGATTTTAACTAGAGTAATTAAATAGAATAGTTAAATAGTTAGGGTTTTATTCTGTGCCCATGCAAGTGTTTCTCAGGAGGAAAAACAAGGAAACAGGGGATGGGTGGTTTTTTTTCCTGGGCACACACAGGAGCAGTTAGCCTGTTAGAAATGCTCCATGTCCATCCTGAGCTGCAGGGACGATGCGCGGTGTCCTGGCCAGCGGAACGCAGCAGGCACGGCTTTTCCCTGGCCCAGAGCAGATGCAGATGTTGTTGCTGTGGTCAATGACTGATCACTGCTTCCTCCCAGAGGAATCTTCCCATTCCTCCTGCCTGGCCTGAATGGGGTTTTATCGGGGTATTGTTGGGATGTCGCTCAAGCAGGCACTGCCCCCCCCCCCCGAAAGGTTTTTCTTTGTCCACTGTCCTGTTGGGGCTCCAGTCAGGCTCTGCCACCCAGGGAGGAGCAGGTGCTGGCAGGGAAGCGCAAACAAAAGTGGGATATTTCGGCAAGATTTACTGATTTGCAGTTCCCTTGGCTGGGACAAAGGCTTTGTGATTTCGTGCAGCTCTCCTTGCATCAACACCGGTGTGTTTTGCTGGCTCAGGTTGGTGGTATTTGCTTCCTGGGGCTTGTGCAGTGGTGTGGTACCTGCCAGGCAACGTCCATCGGATTTAAGGAATTTCAGGAGCCATCGGTCCTCCTGTAGGACACATCAGGAGGATCGCTGTGCCGTGGGGCTGCTCAGCCCCAGGGAGGGGGAATATCTGGGGCTGCAGGAGCTGCCTGCAAAGCAAGAGAACAAAGCTGTGCCATCTGCCACAACTCTTTCAAGAGGCTCCTGCATATCCAGGCGAACAATACAGCGTTTCTTCAAAGGCTGAAATCTTGCTTGCACGCTCAAGAGAAAGCACTTGCAAAGCTCCGCATAATGGTGCCATATGGTAGATCTCGCCGTAACAATCCTCTCTATTTTCTGCCGGCAACTAGACTTTCCACCAGATGGGTAAATGACTGATGTCCTTTATATCTGCTTAACACTCCTTGTCACTGCGAGGTTTGTAATGAAACGCTCTGTGTGTGGTGGTGTGCATCGGCCCTGCGGGGTGTGTGCTGGGCGGGGGGCAGAGGCACGGGGGGTTGAACAGCTTGGTCCAGGGAGGGCAGCGAGAACCAGTGGGGTGGGTTGCAGTGGCATCTCTGTCCCAGCAGTACAAGAGCGATGCTCCAGCGGCTCCTCAGACCGCCTGGGTGCTCCGAGGGGCTGCTGGGTCCAGCGTGGCTTAGCACACACCTGGAGCACAAGGTGCTGCCTCTCCTGGTCCTGCCCCTCGCTCCCAGCCTGCATCTGTGCCGATGGAGGGATGGGCTCAGAGGGGATGCTGCACCAGCTGCCCCTCGAGGTTTGTCCTCCCAAATATGTGGGCTTTGAGGAAATTCCAGTTACTGCTCCCAATGAGGCTTGTCAGACTTTTCACCTCTGACTTGTAGTTAGCAATACGGACAAAATGAGAGCAGTCTCCACGTATCCCTGCATCCCACCTGTGATGTGCAGCAGCCCATTTTTAGCCTATGAAACCAGAGTCTTCTGAGACCTGGGGAGGTGATGCTGGGAGGCGATGTTGGGAAACACGATGCTATGCAGTGTCCCCAGCCCCTCAGGCTCAGGACAGGGCAGACCCTTGTCCCCTGCTGTTGCATGGTGTTAGTGACTGCCTCCCCTGGGATCTGCTGGAGGGGAGATACTCACACACACAGTCTCCGAAGCGCTGGGCTTTATGCCTTCCCCTCCTGTGGTGTGGAAGGCTGCTCCATCCTTCCCTGCTGCTTTATGAAGTACTGGAAACTCATGAGCCTGGGGAACAAAAAAAACCAAAAACCGGTCTCTGGCAGCTTACAAGATTTATCACAGCATTTGATTTTGCTGTGCTTGGGGCAACTCATGCATTTCTTCAGAGCCGCTCTTTGGATGCTATCTATCAGGAGATAGCGTCCCCCGTCACAGAGATTAACTCTTCATCGCCTTTGAAATGCTTCATGGTGGGCGATGGGGCTGTGGCTCACGATGTGGGGTGCTTCGGTGAGATGCTCCATGTGTAGGTGTCCTGCAGAGCCGTGTCTTCCGCCCTCTCGGCATGCTGGGATGATGGCTATTTTATTCGCTGCTCGAAGGGGAGCGGAGGACAACCCCAATGCGAGGAGGGGGCGGTGGTGCAGCCAGTGTGAGCAGTTAGGTGCTAATGGCAGCGCCGGGTTGGGAACTCATCGCTAGCAAGAGCCAGTTTTCCTTAAGAACTGAAGTAATCTGCTTTTTCCCCTGGTTTCTAATCGGGTAAGGAGAAAGCATGAGGTTTTTGGGCCTTGCAAAACAACACGGCTTTTAAGTAACAGCTGAGGGATCAGCTGCAAAACCCAGCTTTGCATTTCATGCTTGCAGGTCAGCTGTCGATTTTTGCTGCCTGGTCTTTGCAGCATTAAGGTCTTCAGGATTTTGGGAGCCACTGAATAGTGGTCAAAGCCATTTTCCTCTATATCTGCAAAGAAAAGGATGCAGTTGGTACCCAGAAAAAAAATACAATTGCAATATTCCTTGTGTCCTGGGCAAAACACCCCTTTCTGCAGGGTCTGTCCAGGGCCAGACACTCAGCACGGGGCTCCTGACCCCGTCCCACCACCGTC